GGTAAGTGGGGAACAGCCCCCACGGGCGCTCCCTGCCCGGCGCTGGGGCCGCGGAGTGGGGCGCGGGTGTCCATGCTGCCCGGCCCCGCGCTCCCCTGGCAGCTGCTTTCCCCGGCCAATTTGCAAGTGAGATGCAGAGAATAGCTGCAGGAGCTCGGGTGACTCTTAATCTTTTATTGCGGCGGGGGGAGGGGGTGCGGGTAACTGAGGAAATCGGTAGCTACAGCCTCTGAAATGCCTTGTCTGTGTGGTGAGCCCTTGCCCACTGCAGAGATGGGAAAGAACCTCCGTGTTAAGAAATAAATGATTCACCGTTACTTTTTTTCTTAGTATACTCATTGACCCTTTCTGTCACATAGCAATTATTTTATTCTAGTTCCCCTGGAAAGTGAGGGATTTGATAGCCTTGTTCTCTGATACACCTTCTAAACCTACAAAGTAAGTATCAGGCATTCCTCTTTCCTTCTGAAATCCTTCTGTATCTCAACTGCATCACTGCCAATGATAAAAACACAGTGTAGTCTCAATTTACCTTCAGCTGCCGCTACTTAGAAAGGAGGTGGAAATACCACTTTTCTGAGATGTCTGTGATAAACATGGGACAAGTGGAAGAAGTGTTAAAGAGTTCTTTTGCTCTAGGGGAAGTTTTGTTCCACTGCTGTTCTGCTTGGCCCTGCTTGCTGCTTTTCTAAGCACAGAAACTTAAATGCAATTTGTTCATCTTTAGAGTTTTCCTGACAGTTCCAGGTTTCAAATTCCAGTAAGGCCCTGTAATCACATCTGACCCTTAAAGGCCATCCGTGAGCTCATGACTGGACCAGAATGAACTGAACTAAGATGAGGAGATGCATTTCACATAGGCAGCAATTTTTCTTCTGCTAAGAAGAAATTATGGTCAGTACCATTATTCTAATTCTGACCCATTTGTGGAAAACATCTGAATTCGTGTTCTCTGTGTTAGGGAAATTTGCAAATAAATATTTAGTCCAAAACATGTAGCCTTTGTTATGTGTTTTCAGGATCCTGTCTTTAATATAGTGTACAGACATTTTAAAGGTTTGTAAAATGTGAAGATTAAACAAACTCTTAAACCATCTAAGCAGAAAATTTAAATGGAGGTCTTAAAAAAAAAAATCAAAATCTGGAAATTTTGTAGCTAGTGTCTTGCTTTTGTCTTTCTCTCTCTTAAACAGGTTTCATTAAAGTAAAACTTTGCTGCTCTGAATAGAGCTTGTTAACATGAAACTCACTGGAATCATCTGCATCCAGGAACACTATGGAGCAATTTTCAACATGCAGGAGAAATTGTTACATGTGTCTGGTAACAGAAGACAGTATTTCACAGACAGAAAACTTATACTGGGTGGGGTAGCAACACCTTGGCACCAAACCTCTGACTCCAAAGTGAACAGAAATGCTGGAGCACTGAGTGAAAAAAGTATGAAAGCAGTGGTGACAGGAGGCGGCGGCTATTTTGGATACAGGCTGGGATGTGCTCTTGCCAACGCAGGAGCTTCTGTTGTTCTCTATGACATACACAAGCCTATCTGGGAGATTCCCAATGGAGCGGTGTGTATCCAGGTATAATAATTATATTCTTCACAACAGTCAGTTACCTCATTTGCCTTTTCCATAATGTCTTACTAGTTTTGACAGAATCCAAATACCTAATTGCAAATGATTGCAAATTTCAGTAACGGTTTTCACTGTTATATAAATATTCCACGTTATTTTTTGTCAACTGATTTTAGTGTGTCTGAAACAAGGGAAACAATGAAACATGCATAGCACAGAGTATCCACTTCACCTCCTGACTCTGAAGTACTCCTCAGGACTCAGTCGCTGCCCTCAACTGTGTCTTGGTTTAACCACCTGTAGAATGAACATAGGGGTATTGTGAGGCTTAATTAATTTTTTAAAGTCCTTTGAGTTCTATGGAAAAAAAGTGTGATTATGAGGAAGGACTGAGATGAGCCTATTTTTCAGTCCCAGGACATGCAGTAAGTACAATTATATGTGTACATAACCCACTGAATGACAAATGCTGAACTGCAGTTTTGATTTCAAGTCCAACTGTCTTTTTGTATGTATTGCAGGCAGATGTCAGGGATTATGATGCCATATTTGCAGCCTGTGAAGGGGCTGACTGTGTGTTCCATGCAGCTTCATATGGAATGTCAGGAAGAGAGCAAGTGAGTCCAAATAGTTTTGTTTTTTTCTGTGATTGCCCACATGGAAGATGAGAGGCTTGATGCTGTAACACTGCATGTTAGATTTTATCTCTTCAGATTATCCTGAGAGCCTGAATCCATGTCCACACTGTTTTGGTAAACTGCTCTGTGCAAACTGGTGTGCTAGCTGCAAGCACTCTGCTTACAGTACTGTTTTCCTAGCTGTTAAGTTTTTTCCTCCCCATTGGAAACTACCAGCAGCCTGGGAGGGCTTTTGAGTTGGAAATGCCATTGAAGAGTTCTGAAATAGTGTGAGAACAAAAGGAAAGACAAGAGAAGCTGGTTCCCTTCAAAACCCCAATCCTTCCCTAAACCTTTCAGAGGGAATTCCAAGCAGTAAGGTCACTTGGAATAATAAAACCAGAAGTAAATTATAAATTATTTTATATAACTAAATTATAACAAGGGCTGTATTTCACATCTTAGTTGTTTGCCATTGGGTAAAAAGCTCTAAGGATGTACTTGATGTAGGACTCTGAGCCACAGTTTTTATTATTAAAGTTACACACACACCCTCACTCTTTCTCACCTTCTTTCATAAAAGGAACTTCAGTAATTACCTTAGCTGGATAGAATAGCTCATTCAAAGATGTTTGCAGTTGAGCAGTGCATACTGGGAATTGCTCTGCGTAGAGGCAACTGGTCCCTGAAGTGCTACTGAAACATGGATACTACTGATACATGGATACTGCTGCAAGATGTATAATAACTGGAAATGTATGTTCAGAAGCCTCATGATTCTCTTTGCTTCAAGCAGGCTAGTCTGTAAAAACACACACAAAAAAATACAGCATAGTTTAATAATTGACTTATTGAAGTCTGAAACAGCAGTCTAAATGATCTTTTTTATAATCAAAGCATTAAACTCATTACCTTTATTTGGGGACATTTATAACATCCCCCTATTGAATTTAAAATTTATTATTATTATTATTTTAAAATGCACAATTACTTTATTTTCCTAGTTGCACAGAGAAGAGATTGAAACTGTAAACATTAATGGAACAAGATTCATCATTGATGGTATGTATCTAACCTTGCCATTAGGTGTTAGTATAGCATAACAAAGTATTGTGCCACTTAGAAAAAGCCATTTGGCTTTTTTTGACACACAATATTTTTTACCAAATACTTTACATTTTTGGCAGGAGATGAGGAAACATGACATTGTTTTGTTTTGGAGGTTTTTTTTTATGTTTGATTCTGTTATATGGGGTGTGATATGAGAGTCAGCACTGGTTTCAGCTACTTCAGCTTTTCTTAGTGAAGTTTAACCCTATGTTGGAATCTGTATCAATGTAAGGAGTTAACTATTTCCACATGTATTTTGTAGCAGTAAACCTCATTGTTATCTAATAGCTTGTGCACAGGCAGTGGCTAGAGCTGAAGTCCATCTCAGGGGGTGGGTAACTGCCCTCCCAGAGGCACAGTGTTAGTTTACAGCATTCAAATTAGGATGTGCCAGATTATAAAGCACTTGGTTCTACAGTGTTCCCCTCCCTTGAAATATGCTTTGCATTTTAAATTACTGAATCATAAAATTTGCTCTTCTAAGATTTGACAATTTATCAGAAAAAGGTTGTACAAACTTTTTTTCTGTATTGTTTCAATTTCCACTAAACTAATTTACTTTATACATTGCCACAGCCTGCAAACAAAGGAACATTGCGAGACTGATCTACACCAGTACAGTAAACGTGGTGTTCGGAGGGCTTCCTATTGAAGACGGTGATGAGGAAACTGTGCCATATTTTCCAATTGAAAAGGTATTTTGGTTGTATTGTATTTTCAAGTTTCCTCTTCATTTACTTTCTTGTTTCTGAAAAAGCCTGGAGTTTTCATGACCACATTCCACCTGATGCCAGAATCCAGGTACAAGAAAGAAGCTCTTTGTAGCTGCTGTTCTCAACCCTGACACATCAGGTTTATGTACTTTGCAGTGTATAGTTCTTTGTCTCCTGCCAAGGCCTTGATTTTGGAAAATGACTCATACAGTGTGCCATTAACATTAATGAAATTCCACCTGGACATTATTGTGTTATATGGCTTGATGCCTCTTTAGGCATTTATTATTGATATGATTTTTCTGTTTCTCTCTTATTGAAGATGATGTATAGCCAATGTAGAGCTGATATGGAAAAGCAGCCTATTTTTATATGGTTTTATTGCATTTAATTAAAAAGGAGAAAGTACTTCTGGGTGCTTTGCATGCACAGTTGGCTTTTGTGTCCCTCCTCTCTCCATCAAGTACTTCACAGTCTTTCAAAAAGTAGAGATGGATAGAGAAAATATTGAATAATATTTTGAATAATATATCAAATAATATTTTCTCTGGGACATTGTCACAAGAAAGTGAACAGGATAATTCATACCAATTGTAATGTCTTCAAAACTTGGCTTTTGACTTTTCCATTACCTGAAAAAGAAATCCAGATTACAAAGTAGTGATCAGTTACATTCTTGGCAGCATTCAAAGCATACATATATTTATTGCTTCTCAAATGTGCTGAAATTAATTAACTGGATTTGCATAAACAAAAATGCTTGCTTACCTTAGCATTATGCATGTGTGTATTTGTTGCCATCTCCTAAGTAAAAACTAGTGGGGAAGATCTGCCCCTCTGCCCTGTCATTTCAAGAGTAGATAAAAAAATATTTGCTTTTTCTCTGCAGCATGTTGATCATTATTCCAGAACCAAATCAATTGCAGAACAAATGGTACTAGCAGCTAATGGAACTCCACTAGCAGGTACTTCCGTCTTAGCATGAATTCATAGTTGAATTTACTTCTCCTCCTCTTGCTCCTCACTAACATCCTGTATCCTGTATCAATCCTTAGTGGACAAGATTTTCCAGCAATTACGAAATCAAGTTATTTACCCCCTCTCAGAAATGAAAATATTTTCACTTAAAAATAACTTTTAGTTGGTTTTAGTTCCCAACAGTGTCCTTAAAAGGTTTTGGCATGGTAGCAGTGAGTTCAGGATGTTAATTGAAAAGATGAAGACAGCTATAAATTAAACAAAAACAAGTGTTTAATGTCACTGTATTACACAACATAAGTAAAACATTAATGCTGATTAAATTGTTACCCCCACCTCCCCCCCAGTTATATATTAAAATCTGAAGAAGCCACCTGATACTACAGCCTGGAATTATTTATTAGTGCTTCCCAAAGTTTTCCATGTTGAGGAAGCCAGTTATACACTTGAATACTTAAGCTCACCTGTGAGATACTATAACTGCCAGTGCAAAACAAATTAATGTAAAGTGCAACATGATTCTATGTGACCAAGTGATACTGAGCTAAATTTAGCTGTAGACAACTTAGAGAAAAGACTGTCTCCAGTTGATACTTGAAGAGAGCTATAAAGAGATACAAAGTCATACAATGCCCCCAAAGATGGGCATTCCATCCCAATAGAATTATTTTCTTTTAAAAAGGGATTTTTTTTTTCTCCTTATTTCCTCTTTTCTGAGCAGCTCTTCACATCAAAGACCCTCTTCATTTTAGGAGCAATACACAGTTCTGCATTTCTCAATGAAACTAGAGTGTCATTGTTCTGAACACCCCAGTTTGTTCCTGTGCCATAGCAGGATTGAGTATTTTGCATGTTTTCAGGTACTATTAAGAACAGTTATTAGCCAAGGATGAACCAGCCTACTGATACACTTGAGAAGTGATTGGATTTGATGATGGTCCTTACTTTCTCCCACTGACATTATCAAGAGCTTCTACAGCAGTTCTAGTGGGAGCTGGCTGTGCCTATGGTTGAGAACCTTTCCACTGTATCTTGTCCTGCTAGCGAGTCACTGTTTCTCATCAGTAATTTTGTATGAGATTAGTTGGTTTCATTCTGCTTTCCTACCAATACCTTGCTCACTTCAGCAAACTCATCACCAAGCTGGCACATTCGTTCACTGCTTTGGCACAGAGAAAAAGGATTGGTTAGAAAGATGTTTTGAAATACCTGCTAATTTCTAGGAATCTGACTAAACTGGCAGGACTTCTCTGAATCTTGTCTTGCTATTTTGCATGTTCTGCCAACTTAATATCCAGCTATTAATTCAACACATTTTGCTGTGTATTATTTTTTAAGATGGTGAAGTTAATTTATTTCAGAGTAAGTTCTGCTACCACATTCTTCGGTTCTTACAAAGATAAAAAGTAATCACGTGAAAGTCACTTAAGAATGGTCTTATCAACTCTTCTAGGAGGTGGAGTACTCTATACGTGTGTTCTTCGCCCACCAGGAATCTATGGACCAGAAGAGCAAAGACACTTGCCAAGGCTAGCAGTATGTATTTTAATTTTTTAATCAGCAGAATTTTCTATGATCTACAACAGCATCACTTTTTTGTGTTACAAATTGACTGGTCTTCCTATTGGGCAGCAATTCAACAATTCAGTTGTCTGTTGGAATATTACAACTTTTGTTAACAGACACCGTATTATATCTGTAAAGAATGTATAGTACATTAAAAAAGCCTTTTTTGAAATACAAACACATAAAAGTCCAGCTTTATAATTTAATGCTTACTATAATTCTAAGATTCAAGCCAATCTATGATAATTTCAAATGTCTGTTTGCATGCAACTTACACCGACTGGTTTAAAATATTAATGAAAAGAGATACAGCAAAATATCTTATTTCCAGTCTCAACTATTAACAGCGTTCACTTTCCAATGAAACAAGTTAAGGGGTTGGAAGCACCTTCTGGTACTAAGGTGCTCACGTTTTACTCTTTTTCACTCACTGTCTTTTAAATTGTGGGACTAGCACAGTGTTTACAATACAATCCTGTAGAATTATATGTGAGTTATTTTAAAAGCATCAGTACAATATAAAGTTAGGCACAGCTCTGAGGAAAGAATAGATTCAAGCTTACCACATAATAAATATTTTTGGTTTGTGGCTGAGGTAGGGAATTATATTGAAGTCAGATGAAATATCCATTATCGTCTTCTAAATAAAATAATTTTTAAGAATGGCAAAAGTAATTTTAGTTAAACCTGAGGTGTTTGCTTTAGCCTCTGGAAAAAAAAAATAAGTCTTTTAAAATTATTTAATATTTTAAGCTTATTTGTTATGAGCTCATTTTAAAGCATTATGCAGCTGCCACATTGCAGTTTCTAAAATGTACCTGTGTGAAATGAAACATGTGACACCTAGCATTACTTTCCATTTTTTCCCAGCCAAAGCTATTTGTTAAATTTGATCCAATCTTGTGAATACTTTTGATCCATTCAGAACTGTATCTTACCTTTCCATACAATATTTTACTTATCCTTAGAATAGACTTGTATTTTTTGTAAATTCAGGACATATTGTGTTCAGTACATTCTTTGATCCCTCCTCATGAGCAGTATTTTTAGAGCTCTGTGCATTTCTCTTTATTCTTCTTTATTTGATTAATGTATTTTTTAAGTAGAGACAAACCCACATTTAGCTGGACAAGAAAATGGACTGTATGTCATTTTAAAACCCATTTTGCTTTGGTTTCATGTTTGTTTATGTCTACAGAAGAATATTGAGAGAGGGCTACTCAGCTTCAAGTTTGGAGATCCTTCAGCCAAAATGAACTGGGTGCATGCAGAGAATCTTGTACAGGCTCAAATTCTAGCTGCTGAAGCCCTCACCCCTGAAAAGAACTACGTAGCTGTAAGTGAACAATAACAGCACCACGGGTTTCATTTGACAGTGGATCCTGCCACTGTATCCTGTACAGTAGTACGACTGTAGTAGCAGTAATTAATGTTTTGAGTTACGGTCCTTTAGTTTATATGGTTTTCTGTGGTTTTAGTTGACAAATGTGCTATGAACAGTGTGGGACCTGGCAGCACTGGCTGTGCACTGTGGTAAGAGTTGCAAAATTCAGTTCTGTAAGAACATCTCCATCTTTGCATTTTTGTAATATAATATTTGCCATTTCTGGAAGATGAGCAAAGAATGTTTTTTTACATTGGAAATGAAATTGGGAGTTCAGGCAGATTTATCGCCTGTTCCCCTGTATATAGATCCAGACTTAATGTTCTGAACTCTGATGATCAGTTCTCTCTATACCATATGCAAATAAAAGCACATTTTATATGGGTTCATTGATTTCAAAAATAGTTGCAACTGTTTTCCTCCTTGTAAATAGATTTTTTATTTGACCTAGAAGCACTACCCTTAAAGTACATGAGAAAGATTTTCAAAGTAGATTAAACTACTTTTTCTAAAACCCTAAAAGCAAAAAGGAAAGAGGTAACTTGCACCTTGGTTACAGACATGGAGTCTTAGGAATGTCAATGAATCTTAACTAGACTGAGAGCACAACACATCCCACCGTTTGGTGAGTGTGTTAACAGCACGGGTGAGCTGTGGCACCACGCTCAGTGCTGGGTCATCTCTGTGGAGTCAGCACAGTCATTCTGTGTAGGCACCTCTGCAATAAATAATTTATAGCAAGACACATTAATCACTTAAACCACTTGTCCACCAATTTCATTGCACACATTAGTGCAACTGATTGAAACACATGTAGGTAGTTTGTTGGCTTGTATGTACATCCATGCGTGTTTGATATTGCTGTATTATTTTTAAGCTGTTTATAAGGAGTGAGATAAAGAAGTCAATACATGTGCAGGATTATTTTTACTAACTTGTCTCTTCTCTACCTCTTTAACAGAGTGGCCAGGTGTATTTCATTAATGATGGTGAAAAATTCAACCTTTTTGAATGGTTAACTCCACTTGTATGTACAATATATACTTTATTTCTAAATACATTAATTTCTTTGACTGTGTACTACTCCAGCTTTTGTGTGCATGTTACATTTGGTATGTTTGCTTTGGGTGTAAGAGTTCCGTTCTGAATGTGAGTTTAATTCCTGTTTGAAGTTCAGGGTGATTAGCACTGTAACAAAGCCTACCTAAAATATTACATTAAAGCAGCTGTCTTCACTGAGACCAAGGGAATGTCTAAACCAGTACCCTCCTTTGAGTTGCCATTCACTTCATTTCTTGGGCATGTCTGTTAACGGTGCCCATTTTGGGTGGACAAAAAATACAAAACCTAATTATTAATCTGTAATGTACATTATTTTCAAAATATCATTTCATTGTTAATGTTGAACTCAAAACCATAAATATGTCACAATGTTAAACTGGGTATCAGAATACCATGACATTTTGATTGATTAATAACCTTCTTTTTTCCTTTCTTTAAGACTGCCACTCAAAAATTTCATTGTGTCTGCATGTGGCATTTAACTGGAATCCCCTGAAATATGAGAACCCAAATAGTAACAGCGATGATGAATTTTTCAGTTTTATCAGTAAATACTTCCACAAACATATTCTGTATTGAAATTTTAACACTTCTTTGAGGTTTCTGGTTTTTTCACTGTTTTTTAAATCTCTTTCAGTTTGAAAGATTAGGTTGCAGTAAACCATGGATACGTATTCCTACTTCCTTAGTTTATGCATCAGGTAAAAATATCTATCAATATTTCTCTTTCCTGTCCACACTACCCTCATTCCTAATTATAATATAATGTGCTTTTTAAAATTTGTCCACGTTTTCATTTTCCTGTATAAAAATAATTTGCTGTGGGCTCACCTGGTGTGCAGCGCGGTTAGGGGTGAAGTTCAGCTCTGTGCAGGGTGTTGAAACCAGAATGATCTGTTATTTAAATCCCACAAAACCAGGTTTTATGTAGGACTTGAGATGTATAACTTTGTGGAGTTAAGGGTATAAATATAAAAAGTAAAATATAAAAATCCATGACTTCATTAAATAGGCTGAAGAGTATCTGCTTTGCTGTGTGAGTAAATTTCTTGTTCTGTATCCCATGCTCTCTCCAGAATCAACCCCCATCTGCAGCTAAGACACAATCCCACTTGAGTATTTTGTTGTCACCACATCTTGTATGAAGTCTCGTGATCTTTTCACTAGACCTGTCACCAACCCTCCAAATCCTTTTCACACAAGTGCCCTGACTTGAAGTATTAAGATTAGGATCAGGCTGATCAGGATTAGGATTCTGGTTGATTGAAGTATTAAGATTAAATCCAACCCCTTGTGAGCAAGTACTCGATGTTAGTAGTGGTGCCCTGAGCGCTTAGGCACGGGATTATCCTTCACTATCAAATACAGTGTGAGACATGCCAAAATCCACGTGGCACAGCAGTTTCCCGATTCTTACCTCAAGTAGAAATCTTCTGTTTTGCAGCAATGATAATGGAGTATCTTCATCTGATGCTGAAACCCTTTGTGGAACTGTCCCCACTGCTGACCAGAAATGAGGTACACTGTTTGTAAAGCCCCCTTAATTCTCACAGGATGCACACATACACGTGAATACTGAGGTACAATTTAGGATTAAGTCAGTAGAAAGTAAAATCCACCCAGTACTACTTCAGCCTCCAGTTTCCAGGGCACATGTATGCGTCATGTACATTTTAGGCAATATATTGTGCTTGTTACCATAATCTTTGAAAAGATAGAAGCTTATGCTTGCAATCTGGGAGAGGCTGCTTCAGCTCCTTCCCTCCCAGGCCCAGGATCCTGCATGGCTTTGGCTGGTCGGTTGGGCCCTAATTCCTGAAGATACTTAGGTACCTAAGAGATGGCTTTTATCTGCCTCCTTAGGTACATAAACGAGTTCAGAACAGTTTTTGTGGATGTTTTCAAAGCCAGAAGATTCTGCTTTACGGCTTTTACTGCCTTTAATGATTCTCCTTTTGAGTGCACAGTTCTAAAGATTATGTGACATGTCAACAGGACATTGATATAATGTTGTGGGGATTTTTTTTATTTTAAATTTCCTATAATTGTGTCTTTGCTACCATTTACAGACATTGTTCCAATTTCCTATGTATTTACATGTTTGTATGTTGACTCTTTTGCCCTATAGGTTCAGAATATTTCTATAACTCACACATTCCGAATAGACAAGGCACGGAGTCATCTAGGGTACAGCCCAGAGAAGTTTGCATTTGCTGACTCTGTGGACCATTACATTAAAACAAGATCAGAAGTCCAGAATCATCACATCTTCCTCAAAGTTTTGCTTTCTTTAATTGTTAGTTTAAGTTTGATCTTCCTTTCTTTAAGACTTGATGGCCTTTCAGTTTTGCATTTTTTTAAAGAAACACGACACTGACTCGCAGAAACTGCACGTACTTGGTCACAGTGCTGCTACCTGGATCATTCTCATCTCCTCAATAGTTACTGGCCCCAGTGCAATAAACAGGCAGCTATTTTTAGATTTAAAACCAAAATTGTAATGTATCAGTAGCTGTACTTGAGAAATAAAATGCAGTTAACAATTATGTCCAAATCACTGAAACACGCTGGAGACAAGACTGCTACATCTGTTTATTTCACACCAAAAAAACAACTTTCCAAATTGATTGCTGAAGGAAATGAGAACCTCCAGAAAGAGTAAGAGCTACAGCCAGCCTGCAGCGCTTCACCAGTGAAGAAAAATGGCTAAAATAAGGAGAAAGCTTGACCACGGCTGCTGCCACAGCTCCCTGCCTTGGGGAACTGAGGAACAACCAGACGGACAGAACACACTACTGTAAATAACATATATCAGCTGTACAGAGAGTTCACAGTGTGTGAATTTGTGAATTAGCTGTATCACTGCCTATGAGGGAAAATAAAAGTGTACTTGAAACTTTGCTGCAGTCAGCTCTGTGCGCTGCTCAGAACTGCTCCTCACCCTACCCCTGGTGCAGAGCTGTCTGTGACAGCGCCTGGACACCGCTCAGAGGCCGTGGGGATACACGCAGGTAGGGGTTTCCACAAGTCAAAACCCTGTATTTTAGTTAAATTGGAAGTTATTAACTAAGTTACATTAGTTAAGTGCATTTATGTCACAGTAGAGGAATCTGCCACTATGGGTTGCACTAATCTTTGTCCTGCTTCTTTTACCTCATGTAGTTACTGAGGACAACAACTAACAGTAAAGTTTAGTTGCTTATCAGCTGACCTTTAGGTACAACTACATTTTTGCACCTAATTTCTGAAGTTTAGCAGTAGTACCCTGCAAATCCCTGCAGTAGCTAAAGGGAACAATGCTTTTGGAATTGGTTTGGCTAAAATGCGCCTCAACAACAGGGGGTCCGGAAGGAGACCCCGCTCCCTCCCCCGCCAGCCGCTCCAGCTGGGGGGTTAGCACAGGAATCCCCCCCCTCTCCGCCCCTTTTCCAGCCTGTAACACGGGGAGGGAGCGATGGGGACCGCGATGGCAGCAGAAAGAGCGAGACAGTCCCAGGGATGAGCCAGGAGAGACAGAGAAACCGAGGCTGGGGCGGGGAGAGGGAGGAATCACAGATGGATTTGGGAATTCTGGAGAAGGTGAGAGCGCTCAGACCCCCCTCAGGGTAGGGCAGGGCTGAGGGTGCGG